TACCTATCACACCTTCATAACCCCTCCAATCAGATCTATTGTAACAGTAACAACACATTAAATGGACAGAAATTCATAAAAATCTGAACTCTGACATCAGTCCATCTTCCAAGACTGTCTTAACCAACGCATGCATTGGTCACATTTACACACATTGGTACATCTGGCAACTGTCTAAACCACTGAAAGAGTTAAAAGCACCCAGACCTGAGTAGCACATTTCCTTCATAATGTCCCCGGCAGGAAACTAGGGAGATAATGCAGTGACTTTTAATATTTTAAGTGCACAGCAGTACGCCCAAACAATTAAATGCCAGCACTGAGATAAGACAAATTATTCACACAGAATTGCAATCACCATTTAGTTTGTTGTCTGGCATCATCATATTTTATGAGCTCCGAAGACTTATGAGAGTCATGAATATGAGCAAAGCCATTTTTTTTTAACTCATAATGCATTCAGTATTTCAACTCTGCAGTGATTTAATGAAAAGCTACAATGTATGTCTCTGATGGATTGGTAGCATGCTCGTGTAAATGTTTGGCTTCTTGCAGGAGACTACAAAATTAATGAAAAAAGCCCCTGAGATACTTGCCATCTGTCCATAAATTGCCCAGACAGTCCTGCTCTTTTTGTTTCTCTTTCCTGGTGTAAGTGAGCCTGCATGTACAGAGCATGTAAGTGAGCCTGCATGTACATGGCAGAAGACTCACACAGTTCTCATTGCCTCCTTCTCAGTTATGAAGGATCTGTTACATCAGACACTCAGCAGGAGAGAGAACAAATCACGCCAATCATGGGTTACCTCACAGCAAGGTCAGGAAACTGTTTTCAGTGTCTCCAGACTACTAAAGAACTAACAGCAGACAGTTGTAGAAAACAGGCAGGCATTAAGTAAATTTCTATGTAGAAAACTTCTTTATGGATGAAATAGCAAAAACAATTGTAAGGGAGTTAATGGGACATTGTAATTCATGTGTTGTCTAGCATAATCGTGTTGTTGGTGAGACAGTATTGTAAGTCATGCTTGATGTAGACTGTACAGTGAAGCTTAACGCATTACCACAGAGTGGAGATAAGCGTCTCCTCATACATTTCAGAATGCTCTGAAACTTGTCGGAATTTGGGTTGATCGGGCGATCGGTCGAATTTCTGAACTCTGAGTCGAAATGTAGCCAAATCCTGTAACCGAAACATACGATGGCTGAGCTTGTTTGTTTTGTGCCATGATACTGAATTCTACCAGCAGTGTAAAAAAAGTGATGAGATACATGATTGATGGCGAAGGGACAGTCAGTAAATGTAGATTTTTTTTTATTCAGAGATGAAGTGAGAAGTGATCAGTTCAGGGGAAAAAAGTAAGAGCAGCAAATAAATAAATATATATATATATATATATATATATATATATATATATATATATATACACACATCGTAGCAACTTGCACTAGTGCCCGGTGATGGTTGTGGCAAAGGTAGATATGGGTGTAGAAACAATCGCACTCCTGGGATTTGGTTGAAGTAGTAACCAGAGGTTTCAGGGTCAGAAACTCACCTACCATAGGCAGACAGAACCCTGCATTCTGTAAAAAATGGATGTTAATTTCCAACAAGTGTTCACTTGATTGGATGGTGATTGTGGTGGAGGAAGTGGGGAAGGAACTTTTATTTGTCAAACAATCTATCCAAAAGGTTGAAATCTCCAATGCCTCTATACTACAAGCATCTTCTGCCACTATACAAATGTTGAAATTACAGGATGAATTAAATAAATATAAAAACGATCTCATTCGCTTTAAGAAGCAGAAACTTGAAAAGGTCAACAACAACTATAAGTACCATCAGGTGTATAGGTGGCTTGGAGGTTCTCAGGATTCCCCTAGACCCAATTTTAGGTTTAGAACGAAGATCCGTAAACCCACCTTCCAAACCGTTGATGCCAGTTCTGGTGATTCCACCTCTGACCCTGAATCTGGAAGAGATAACAAGAACCCACCACATGATACTTTTTTAGGGGTGGGCACCCCATTGAGAGAACCACCGGTTACATCCAGAATCAATACCAGAGGCACAAACAGAACCGCCCAATACGAAGAGGGCTGAGCAATTGGAAGAAATTCAAATCCCATTGGGAAACCTCCCAAACCAAGGAAATGACCACTATTTTCAATTTATCAGATAAAGTGCTAACCACGGATCACTACTCTTTGTTGAAAGAGTCTAAAGTCGACCCGTTTCAACAAGAGATTGAGATGTATAAAACTCAAAGGACACTTTATCTAAATGAAATTATGAAAGAACCTACACCTAAATTGATATCACCATTTTACAAGAAACAAAAGAAGGATGTACGTACCAATAACACCTCTATCAGGACCTTCATCCAGACTGTAAAGGCAGACACAGAACAGATGGTGAAAAATCCCCCTACATACCATTCAAATCTAACTCCGGGTGAGATGAAAGCCTTACATGACCTCAGTCACGACATCAACATCATCATACACTCTGTCGATAAGGGCGGTGCCACTGTGATTCAATCCTATCAAGACTATCGGAATGAAATACTACGACAACTTAATGACCATACTACATATATGAGACTCACGTTTGACCCCGTGAAAAAATTCCAAACCAGAATCAAGAACCAGATTGACTTGGGCATTCTTAGTGGTTTCTTGGATGAGAAAACAGCTAAATTTTTGTTTGTTGAATACCCGAGACACCCGGTACTATATACTCTGCCCAAGATCCTCAAGGACCCTATCACCCCACCAGGAAGACCCATTGTGTCGGCCAATGATAGTTTACTGGAACCAGTGGCTAAATATGTTGATTTTTTTTATTAAAAAAAGTGTAGTGGCACTCCCCACTTATCTACGGGACACACGGGACTTCATTCATAAAATAAAGTTAACACCTACGATTGACGAATCGTCAATACTTGTCACTTTAGACATACAGAGCCTATATACCATCATACCCCACCAAGAGGGGCTACAGGCTCTCAGAACGGTTCTGAGTGAATCCACAGTATACACAGGACCTCCTATTGAATTCTTACTGAAATTCCTACATATTGCCTTGACTTGTAATTATTTTAAATTTGAAAAACAATTTTTTCTACAACTCTCGGGGACAGCAATGGGAGCGGCGATGGCGCCCTCTTACGCCAACGCTTTTATGTACACATTTGAAAATAAATACATCTTACAGAAATTTGGAGACTCCATACAACACTACCATCGCTTTGTGGACGACATATTTTTAGTATGGACAGGTACTATGGAGTCATTGAAGAACATGCTTACTGAGATCAACCTTGCCCCTAACTCTGTGAAATTGAGTATGCAATACGACACACAGTCCATCCAATTTTTGGATGTCACTATCTACAAATATCGTGGAAAATTGGAGTTCATGCTATACCGTAAAGAGACGGACCGCAATACACTATTGATGGCATCCAGCTTCCATCCCAGACAATTTAAGGCTTCATTACCCATATCTCAATTCCTCAGAGTTCTCAGATACAACACTACTTCTGAAAATCGTGACATTCAGTTTCAACAAATGTGGAATAGATTCAGGGCAAGGGGATATCAGGTTCAGACTCTCCAGAAAGCCCAAACTCGTGCCATTGAAATATGGGAATCTGAAACTAATGAAGTAACCAAAACTAATGCAACACCAACATCTAGGATGTTTCTCCCGCTCACATTCCATACGGGCATCTCTACGGTGAAACATTCTGTTAACAAGAACTGGGGACTACTACAATCAGATAAACAACTTCCAAAAATATTTCGAGAACGACCAATTTTCAGCTACAAGAGGAACAGAAGTCTTAAAGATATTTTGGTCAGGAATGACCCACTTCATTGCTACCAGCCTATATCAAATATCACCAAGAAAGGATGCTACAAGTGTAGTGGGTGTGTGACGTGCAGCCACATGGTTAGTGGCAAGTCATTCGCACATCCTCACAGTGGCGAAAGAATTAACATCCGACATCATATAACATGTACCACAGACCACGTAATATATCTTATTACATGTCCCTGCGGACTATCGTATGTGGGCAAAACCAACCTCATCCTGAGAGATAGGATACGTGGACATCGGTCAACTATCACTACTGCCTATCGGGATAACTACAGCGACAAACCAGTAGCCAAACATTTTTTGGCTTTAACACACAGACTACCATCATTACGCTTCATAGCGATTGATCATATCCCACCTCCTCCGAGGGGTGGTGATAGATCAAGAATGTTACTTCAACGGGAAGCAAAATGGATATACCAACTGGACACAGTAACACCCAGAGGATTAAATGAGAATATTGTTTATTCAGTTTTTCTCTGATACTATACATCTCTCTTATCCCGGTAGTCTAGGATCATCGTCCTGAGCCTCTTTTCCTGTACATCTTTGCACCATAGGGTATCTGTATATTGTGTACAATGTGTCTTGCCTACGTTTTCTTTGTTTTTGGTGATATTTCTCTAGACTCCATTTACCTCTAGTGACTTGGTTATAGTGATCAATTAGGTCCTCCGACACTGGCATATACCATTTTGGCAGTGTAGTTTTGTAATTCTATTTTATTTTATTTCTTGTATACATTTTTCTGTATAGTCTGTATATATATTTTTTTTCTCTATGCAATTTCTGTACATTTTTCCCTCACATGGTCAGTAACTGATATTGCAATAGATTTTCAGTATTACCTCATATGGCTGTATTCCAATCACTTTCAGTGATTATTTAGCCTAACTGGCATCTCTACACCCCTTTTCTTGTTACTATAGACTCTGCAGTTGTTATTTGAAGTATTTATTTCCGTGTATTTACATGATATACAGAGTATATGGATTAGTCCTTTTTTCCTTGTTCCTTTTTTCCTTTTTTTCCTCTGTTCTGTCTTGAATGTGGTTTTAGTCCACTACCTATAAATTATCATTGAATACCCAGTGTCCATACTGTCTTGCCTAGAACCTATGGCCATCGTAGTCTGAAAATGCTTGATCTCACCAGATCTCAGAAGCTATTCAGACTCAGGCTTGGCTAGTATGGGAGACCAACTAGTAACCTCAGATGCTATAAGCCTTTGTCCTAATCTTCATCTATTTTGTAGGATTCTCTAATTAAAGTTCCCACATAGTATTCTCATTTTAATACTCTGTATACTTTGTGTCCATGTTATGCTTGATTTAATTGTATGTGTTACGCATTATACATTTGTTTTTTGTATTGTTTTTACCGGGTGCATGTTTACACTACTTCAGATTCACATACATATGGTCACTTTAATTGGTGTATCTTAGATACTGGACCAATATTAATATAGTCTTTTTTTGTAGAAATGGACCTTTGAGTCCTCACTATTAGTGGTGATCACTGTATTGCGTTTATATCATGCTACTTGGTAGGTATTATAGTTCTGTATATTTCACAGGGCTCTACGCCCTTTCACTCCATTGCACAGATAATTATCTGCCTAATCCGAGCTGTTTCATGTTCACTACATATTTGCTCGGGTTTAGTTTACCCGTTTCCTAGCAACCACATCATGGTATTGGCCACGCCCATACGTCACATGACACGCGTCACATGACGCTTCATTTACACTTCCGGGTTCGGACTAATGGAAACCGGTGTGCACTGTTTGTTTGGTGAGTAACTCCTCCTATGTTGCCTATATATTTGTGTTGTATATGTTTGTATATTGATCTTGAGGAAGACCTGAAGAGGTCGAAACGTCGATCAGATGTATGTTACCTGTTATTAAATAATATCGAGTTTTTTAACAAAGACCTGAGAGTGCATCTCTTTCCTTTTTGCTTTATATATATATATATATATATATATATATATATATACACACACATCGTAGCAGCTTGTACTAGTGCCCGGTGCTGGTTGTGGCAAAGGTAGATTTGGGTGTAGAAACAATCGCACTCCTGGGACTTGGTTGAAGTAGTAAAATTTAGCTTTTATTTATTCCATATAAAGTATCAACGTTTCAGCTCCAGCATGGTGCTTTCATCGGGACAGGTTTCTACACCCAAATATATATATATACCCACCCAGAATCCTTTGCGGTAATAACATCATTGCAGATTTGTGATTTCTGTGGGAAAAGCAAGTCTTATGGCTTGACTGCTGTGCAGATTTGTGTTCAACATTGTATTAACTATCCACAGACTTCAGATGGAAGGGATTTTCAATCACAATTTTTTCCCCACCATAACCTTTTTGGTTTTTGTTTCACAAGCACTTCCTAGCCTCAATAAGCAAACCAGTAACCAACCTCATTAACAATGAAACAGCTGTCCATGATTGGTTCACTGGCTTTCCATCTTTTCCCAAGCTGTGTTTCAAAGCTGTTGTATACAGCAAATAGACTCAAAGGAATCCATGTTTAAAATGGAATGAGGCAAAAATGTGATTCTTTGTTAAACTAATTTGCACATGCCCACGCAGAATCCTTTGCGGTAGTAACATCACTGCAGCTTTGTGATTTCTGTGGGAAAAGCAAGTCTTATGGCTTGACTGCTGTGCAGGTCTGTGTTCAACATTGTATTAACTATCCACAGACTTCAGATGGAAGGGGTTTTCAATCACAATTTTTTCCCCACCATAACCTTTTTGTATATATATATATACACATACATGGATATATGTATATATTTTAAAATATACTGATTGCCCCACTTTTGCACCTTTTTGGTTCATTTTATTCATTTTCAGGATTTGTTTTTCATTACTGAAATTCGACCTAGATGCATGGACATCTAGCTGAAATTAATCCAACTTACATTTTCTTGTCATGCACAAATCTACTACATAACTCCCAGCTTTGCGACAAAGGAAATTGGGACAGGGGCGGCCCTTCCTAAGGAGTGTCACCAGCATGCCAGACTCACAGACAGCCTATTGGCCAGCCCCTTACTTAGAAGACCATTCAGAGAGCCATGCTGAAGCACTTTCTGCATAGTCAAAAGTGCCTGCGAGAAGGTATCCATTCTGCTTGGGTATACCTTATCTCAGAAGTTATTAAGATCATATACCACAACCACGTTAAGGCGAAATATGAAATATATGCTTACTGATATATTAATTTAGTGTTTTAATATGTCCATTAAAAAAAATACATTCTTTTTTATCTTAACGCTTTTTTTAATAGGTTCATAGAATCATATTTATATCACCATTATCTCTGTACAGCTTACTGATTTTTAAAATGTGCAAACATTTTCCCAACTGAAAAATACATATTACAATATGCTATACTGTAGATAAAGATATTAATAATATATTTTCCTAGATGTCTCATATATTTTTATATTGATTACAGGTATCAGTGTTAAATATCTTTGAACTCTTTATTTTCCCATCAGGAACATAGACAAGCAAACATAGCTGAGCCCACAAAAAAAAATGTATCTCTTGTAATTTCATCCCATGTACAGCAGGATAGATATAGTTATACAGATCTGCATAATCAGTGAGGCTACCACTTGGTACTTAACATTCTGAACCTAACAGAGAGGTTCTTCTGTTTTTTAAACTATTGAGCATGCTAATAACTTAATTCCCATAGTTGTGTTTACTGATATAGCCGATAGTGTTTCAAAACACTGTGCTATTTTTTTTCAAAATACCTTGTGCGCATTCAATTTTATATTGACTGCAGTTGGTCACTTTCCCATAGAGTATATGTTAGACAATAAAACCTATTACTTTTATCTCAGTCGATGTGTAAATAAAAGACCAGCTTAATGAATGAATATGTCTGCTAAAATCAAACTTTAGTATGCACACGCACATACTCACTGATCATAGTTACTAATACTTTGTTTTGCCGATTTCTGTTTATTGAAATAAATTTTCAGTTTTTCAAAATAAGGGTGGTAACAAAGTGGGACACGCATGTATGGTAAACATGTTTTTTTTCCCTAAATAAGAAAAAAAAAATTAAAAGAAAAGAAAAACAAAAGCGAGATGCGCAGATCTCCAAATAAATAAGAACCTTAATCAATCCCACCCCACTACAATTCATCTTGAATATCAAGTAGGAACGAAGAAAGAATCAAGACCAGGGTGTCCGTGGCAACAAAATAAAACAAACAGAGACACTGCCACTCACTCTTTTGGGAAAAGGGCTGGTATCTAAACCACGGGCTGCCGCAGCATCGCACGTCACACTCCACTGAGGCAGAGAGGGCGGATAAAGAAGAAGAAACCAAAAAGAAAAGAAAAAGGGAGGGGAAGGGTGGAACCCATAAATGGGAATATTGCACATTAAACCATTCGTAGTACACAATAATGTGGTGCCATTGTAGGAAAAGGTTTAGGTATGCCACTCCAAGTTTTGGACCCATGTAACAATATGCTTCGTCTACACTCAATAGACCCATGTCCTGTGGGAATTCCAAGTAAGCTCTCTCCCTATTATGTCCACCACAACCTCCCGATCACCAGTACACCGCCTGTATCTCTTGACTCCCCACTTGCAGTGTTCTATAAGCAACTACACTGCAAGCCTTTTCACTCTACCCCATTGGAAATCAACTGATCTAAGGCAGAAGGGCCTGGAAGTCAGCAGACTCAACGGACAGAATCTAGTGAATCCAGATATTTAGATATGTCTGGGCATGCAAAATAAGTTCCTCCATACGTTGGAACCAAAGGACAGGAGGAGGAAGTGTATCCTTCCTGCAAATAAGCAGTATCAAACATTTGGCCACATTGAGAGGCCACAACAGAGTCCTGTTAGTCAAAGATTTTTTATGCATGGAAGGGTGAATTTTTGAGTGGTATAACAGGAGTAAGGCTGGTTTAAGAGGGGGAGGTTCATCAGTAAACCTTTGTAAGATTGTGTGTGTGATTCTCCAATACAATGAGATCATAGGGAAATCCCACCACAAGTGCAGAAGGGTGCCCCCCTCCAGTTTGCATATGTGGCAAAACTAGCCATTTTATTGTGAAAAGACTACGCTAATTTGTCTATTCTGAATTCACGAACAGAACTTGGACATATTGTTTGTGAAGTTTAAAAAAATACTGAATGGAAGGGAAGACCACACAGGGGAGTTGTGCGTCTCCAATTAAGAAATTGCAACTTAGTAAACTGCAAACTCATAATGGTCAGATGTGAGGTCACCGTTCGTATGAACAAACACGTGGCGGCGGCCATCTTGGCGCACTAACGCCCAGCGGGGTTTGGACGCCGAGTGCATGGAACTAAAATTGGCCACTCGACCTCATGAACACCGCTGGACTTCCATCCCGTTTGTACAAACAGACCGGCGTTCACCTAAATGAAACCACCGACCTTCAGACACACGACTACTTATAAATGTGTATGTTCATCTGTTCGAAAGACCGGTGAAAGCCTGCAATTGCCTGGAACTGTTTTGGGACTTCACCTCGTGGCTGACCGGTCCACAACTTCACTCAAATGGCTTTTCTATTCTACCGAACGGATCTGAACGGTATTTCAACAGATTGGGCGCTCTGATCCCAGCTATTCAGTGAAGTGTCTTTCGTGGAGTACTGATAAATATTATACGAATTATGATGGTTTACAAAATATTGTGTAATGTTTTGTACGGAGAGATAATTTAATTAAAAGTGTGCTCTTACGCAATTGTATCTCCAGTACAGAAAAGGATCCTGGGAAATATTACTGTACTCTCAGTTTTCCACAAGGTCCACCAGGGGAAAACCCCTGGAATGTCATTATGGAAACCCCTTGCATGGGGATATATATAAAACCGTCTGTGGCTCAATAAAAGTTTAGTTGACTCCCAAAAATGTGGTTCATCCAGTTGTTGGGGAATGGGATTGGAATTACTATGCTACCCTTTATTTGTATGCTGACTACGTCTACCAGTGGAGATATTGCAGTTTACACTTCTACTCCGCTACAGCATAGTTACTAAAACTTAGGCCAACAATGGAACACCACATGCCAGCATTGATTCTGTTCTTCCTCTGTTACTCAATGTGACATCAATCAATCTCATACTGCATGGGAATTCATGTCCTAGTACTACACTAAGACTGAAAGACTTTGTGGTCAAATTAGTAAATGCCAGACA